ACCCCTTCTAAACCCAGCCTGGACTTCTGGTAGTTCTCTGCTGAGTAGTGCTGTTCCAGTCGTTTAGATTAAAATAGGTCTGTGAAGCCCAGGGTGGGCCCCTACAAGGGTCCTGAGCAGGATGACAGGGCGGGTGTTGTGGGCAGGAAGCGGAAGTGTCGGGGCACCCCCAGTGCAGTGGGGAACACGAGAGCTCACTTCTCACTCAACACTGCCAGGGCTGAACGTGGGTGCTCGGAAGCTGGCTGGCTGACCCATGGTGAGCCCAGGGGCCTGCTGGGGTTCTTGGGGTGTGGGCAGCGGGTCAGGGATAGCAGCTCTGGGCCTTGGGAACTCTTGGAGGGACCCCGGGGGGACTGAGGCAAAGGTGAGAGATCCAGAATATTGTGGTGTAGGAGCCAGTCTGCACCCTTCTTTGGACTCGGGGTGGCCCGAGCTCCCACTCCAGGCCTCTTGTGGTGAACTTTCTCATCCCTCCTCTTGGGGACATGGACAAGGGGCAGTCCCAGCTTACATCATTGGAATCGAAGCAGGCATGGTTGGAATGGGGAGCTCAGCACTCAGCACCGCTCTGCACCCCCACCTGCCGTGTTCCAACCGCAGGCTTCCGCTGGCAGCTGGGCCTGCCCCCTCGTCCCCAGCCTTGTGTGCCCCTGGGACTCGGTGAACGGAAACTGTAGCTAGGGCAGCCCGTGTGGCTGGGAAGGGCTCTGAGGACCCCCACCTCGGGATCTGAGAGCAAGGTCTCAGGAAGGGTCCCTAAGCTGGTGTTGAGGGCTCTCGTCCTCCCTTGTGCACACCCCAGAAGAGGGTTCCTGTCCACTCGGGCGTTTGCCCAGTGCCTGCTGGTGGGTAGGTAGGGGTACTTGATAAACAAGACTGACCCACAAGCCTGTCCTCCTGATGGGGGCCCTGCACATGCTGACAGAGGAGACAAAGTGGGTGATAAGCCTGGAGCGGTGGGCTCGTCTAGAGTGTCGTGGGGGTGTGATGGGTGCTTGATAATGGAGCGGGGAGGCAGGCAGTGCCTCACTGAAGTGACATCTGAACCAAGATTTGAGGGTGGCAGGTGGGCCATGTGGTTGTCAGGAAGTGTCCGTGTCCAGGTGCAGCCATGCGAAGGTGCCGGGACAGCGGGAGCGTGGTCAGGAGGGGCAGCACCAGGTGCTGGGGTGGGCTTGGCCTTCTCTGCTTCAAGGTCCCCTCTCAGGAGGGCAAAGTGGCTCTTAGATAGACCACATATTAAGTCCCCACCTGTCCTGACAGGCTCTGCCCTGTGCCCTGGGGCTGGGGACCCTGCTGACCCTGCCGGGGGTGCTAGGCTCAGACGGCAACACTGCAGACAGCGCGGGCTCCGTCACCACCGTCCTGCTGCTGCTGCTACTGCTGCTGCTGCTTGTCGCCGGGCTGGCACTGGCCTGGCGCCGCCTCAGCCGAGACTCGGAGGGCTACTACCACCCAGCCCGCCTGGGGGCCCGGCTGTGGGGCCGCACACGCCGCCTGCTGTGGGCCAGCCCGCCAGGTCGCTGGCTCCGGGCCCGGGACAGGCCAGAGTCGCTGGACAATGACCTCGAGCAGCAGGAGGACGAGAATGAGGCTGAAGACTACATCGTGGAGGGCGGCCTAGGAGAGGATGAATCCCAGATAGAAGAGCAGCTGTGCAGAGGGACCACCAGCCTGGCGCCGGCTCCTGAGCAGGCCCAGGAGGTCCCTGATGGTGACAGCGCGGGGAACCTGGGCCTCCACACTCAGGGGCCAGCGGGATCAGGGGGCAGCTCAGAGGCCCTGCTCAATGACCTGCATGCATTTGCTGGCAGTGCCGCCTGGGACGACAGTGCTGGAGCCACCGGGGGCCCCCATGTCACTGCGCTTTAGGAAGCAGCCGTGATCCCCATGGTCCCCATCACACCCATACCCACTGTGCCCCTGCCCACACCCCACAAGGACTGTAACTCCCCCACCAGGCCCACCCCTCACAGAGCGAAAGCATCCTTTAGAAATAAAGTTCTCCAGCCTCCAGGCGAGGTGCTGGTCCTGTGGTGATCCTCCACTCCCGCCCCCCCACCCCTCCACTCCTGCCCACGTCTAACAAAAGAGCAGACCAAGTGCCATGATTCATCCTTTAATTCCCAGGGGCAGTGTCACACCAGCAGGCCCTGCCCGCAGTGTGGCCCCCACACTCATAATTCTGGGGTCACAGACACCCAACAAAGACACACTCTCACACTCACTCTGCCTCTCACACGTCCAGGTCTCAGAAACTGGTCCCCCATCCTGTCCTCAGTGCCTGCACGGAGGGGTCTCCCCACCCACCCTCCTATCGCCTGCGGTGCCCATGGCCCCTCTTGGACTTCTTGGTCCCTGAAGGGACAGGGATAGGCAGAGGGGCAGATCTGGGAAGTAGTGGCGGTGGTACGAGTAGAGGTAGTGGTGGCTCCGTGGTCTCTGGCCGGGCAGGGCTGGGTCGAAACGCCTCAAACGGTGAGAACTTCAGAGGGCTACAGAGGGGAGCAAGGCAGAGTTAGGGCTCCTCCAGACTGGGCCAGGGCCCCCCCAGACCAGACCAGGTGCAGGTGAGAGAACCAGTGCCTGCCCACCCACCTCTCCACATGTGGTACCTGATGGGGGTCCGGGGACTGCTGCTGAGGCGCCTGGGGGAACACAGCTTGGGCTGGAAGACGAAGCCCTCCTCTTTGACGCTGTCCAGGACACAGGGTGCCACGTACGTGAAGCCCTGGGGCAGAGGCCGAGACAGATGAGTGTCCTGCTTCCATTACCAGCCCACCTTCACCCCCCACTGGCACGGGGCCCCAGGACTCACCAGGAAGGCCTGCTTGGCACTCTCGCTGAGGATGGCACTGTCAGGACTGTCTACTGGGATCTGTCGTGTGAAGCAGGTATCAAACTGGCTCACGTCCTCCTCCGACTGCTAAGGTGAGCAGGGACAGGGGTCAGAAGGCACGTCCGGCCGGGTAAGGGACCCCAGCCTGCCCCCGGACCTGGAGCTTACCAGACAGGGCCTGTTAGGGGGTTCCACACGGCGGTCTAGCAGGTCATCCCAGTTGATGTTCCGAAAGAAGGGGTGTTTCTGTGGGTGGAACACCCCCAGATACAAGGTCAGACTCAAGCTGTTCCTGTACCCCACTACCCTAGGGCTCAGCCCTGCCCCATCATGGTGGTCCCAGACCCACCTGCACATCAGCACTGTCCCCTGGGCCACCTCCGAGCCGCTGCTTGGGATTCCGCTTCAGAAGCTAGGGGACAAGAGTAGAATGGAGGCCCGAGTGAGGCAGGTCCACCCATCTCCATTGCCTGGCAGAGAAGGCAGGTAGACTCCCTGAGCACTGTCAGGGTGGTCCAGTGGCCTCTTCTCTAAGCAGTCTTCTTGCCACCTCAGAGCACCTGTGCGGGAGCCCATCTCCACACCTGGATGGGACACCCACCAGGCGAGCCCCTCACACACTGAGCACAGCACCTCTAAAGGAATATCTTAGGGAAAAAGACCCATAAGCTTCTCGGGGGAATTCTGCTGTGCACGCCAGAGACCAGGGATTTGTTGTGAGTCAGCCAGTGCAGTCAGAGCCCAGCTCCACGTCCGAGTCAGCCAGTGTGGCCCGAGCCCAGACCCGTGCCCGAGGCAGCCAGTGCGGCTGGAGCCCAGACCCGCGTCTGAGGCAGCCAGTGCGGCCCGAGCCCAGACCCGTGCCCGAGGCAGCCAGTGCGGCTGGAGCCCAGGTCATTAGCAGTCAGTGCAGACAGAGCCCAGGCCCAAGTCGTCGTCATCAGTTAGCCAGTGCAGACCAAGGTCTCCACGGCAGCAGGCAGCGGCCCCAGGGGCGCCTCGGCACCTGCTCGGCCTGAAGCACAGGCTGTCTTGCTGAGTGGCCAGCAGGGTCTGCAAGGGAAGCAGCGGGGCCCTGACCAGGTGGGGGCAGCGTACCTTTTTGATGAGGTCCTGGGCATCCGGGGTGAGGTAGTTGGGCAGCTTCAGCTTCCCCTTGACAATCTTGTCTATGATTGTCTTCCGATCCCTGGCTGTGAAGGGTGGCTAGAAGAGGCAGGGCAAGAGGGACCGTGTGGGCTTTCACCAGGCCCCACCGTAGCCCCTGCTCCAGGATGGGGGTCTCCTCCAGCCCCCACCCCCATTCCCTTGAAGGCTAGACTTACCGATCCAGTGAGCATGTCGCACATCAGGGCCCCCAGGCTCCACCAGTCCACCGCTCGGTTGTGGCCACTGCGCATCAGAATCTCGGGGGCCCTGGGCAGGGTGGAACAGAGTGAGACCAGGCTCCTCGGGCTGCCATCCCTGTTGTGTCCTCCCCTGGGCTCCCCTCCCAGGTGACCACCACTCACATGTACTCAACGGTGCCACAGAAGGTGTGAGTGACAGCATCCTCGTGAACCGACTCCTTGCAGAGCCCAAAGTCTGTCAGTTTGATGTGCCCTGAGGAGGAAGAGCAGGGGATGGTTAGAGAGGAGCTCGGGCCAGCCTTCCCCACCTGTGGGCCTGCTGGGGCCTCCCCCAGGCTCTGTGATGAAACCGCGTGAGCACACACACATTCAGGCAGGCAGACATGAGTTCCATGCACACACACACACACACGCAGGCACATATAAGTGCACACAGCTGCGTGTCTGCGCACACAAAACGCACCCTGACTGTCGAGCATAACGTTCTCAGGCTTGAGGTCTCGGTAGATGATGCCCTTGGAGTGCAGGTGGCCAAGCGCCAGGGTGATCTCTGCCAGGTAGAAGCTGTGAAGATAAGTCGAGGTGAAGGTATGGACTGGGAAGAGCTGGCCAGGGGCCCTCAGAGCCCTTGGGGGGAGAGAGTGGGGTCAGGGGGCACACCTACCTGGCCACGTCCTCCAACAAGAAACCTTCTCGCTCCAGATGCATGAAGAGCTCGCCACCTATAACACAAACACGCCAGTGTCTCTGGGTGGGGCCCATGACCCTGATCTCTAAGTCTGAACTTCTTCTTGGGGAGAGAGGGGTGCAAGTCCTGCCCTACCTGCCTTACAGGACTGCCAGGGGGGCTCAATTCAATTCAGCAAACGTCTACCGATGCCTATTCGGTGCCCAGCCCTGTGCTGGGTGACGCTGGGGATGCAGACACAGAGAGACCCAGCCATTCCCCTCAGGATGCCAGGCCTGAGGGAAGATAGGCATGTGTGTGTGGGGGGGAGACAGACTGCTCAGACCGAGGCAGTGACTCCAAGCTTATGAGGCTATAAATCATCATGGGGGATTGCCTACCATTTCTCTCAAAGAGCTGCTGAGGGATGGATTTGAACCACCAGACAGGTATGGCCCTTTGGGTTAGCAGCATAACTTCCTATCTACTATGCCACCAGACCTCCCTATACAGAAGACAAGGGGCCACATAACACATTCTAATGCAAATAACAGAGAAAGCCTTGTGTGGATTCCAAGGTGAAGCTGAGATGGCAGGAGGCGTGCAGTGTGACGGGAGAACTTTAAGAGTCTGGGGCAGGTGGGAGTATTCCGTGGAGGCCAGGCTCTGGGCCGTGAGAGAGCAGTGCAGGTACAGTGAGTCCTCAGAAGATTCTGACTGGCAGTGGAGGGGATGTTAGAAAGGGGTGGGCTGCAGGCCTTGAGCTGGTTAACACAACTGCAGCTCCCTGAGAATGATAGTATCACTGAGAACGAACCAGCTGGGTGCAAGACAAGAAAGGGGTGGACCAGGGCATGAAGGAACAGAAGAAATGGACAGAACAGGCCCCACAGGATTTTATACATGTCCCACTCCCCAGAGCCATCCAACCCAAACACAGGTGAAGGGCACGTTAGGTGCTAGACAGACGTTTGCTGAATTAATGAAGGACAGACATGATGGATGGATGGGTGGGTGGATGCAGGGAGTGTGGGTCCCTAGTCATTCTCCAACCATCCTTTCTGAGGGTGCCTCCCGGGGAGCTCCCATGCTGCCTGCACTGCCTTCTGCCCACATGCGTGTCTGGGCCCCCATTTACCCTCCAACTACCCCTCCCGAGGGCACCTCCCAGAGCTCCCATGGCCCCCAGTCCTACCACTGAGGCACTCAAGGATGAGGTAGAGCTTGCCATCAGTCTGAAAGGCATAGGCCAGATCCACAATGAAGGGGTGCTTCACAGACTCCAGAATGTTCCGCTCAGACCGTGTGTGCGCAACGTCCTTGGCACTTCGAAGGATTCTGGCCTAGAGAGGCAAGGACCAGTTAGATCAAGAACCCACCCGAGGATCACATCCAGCGAGCTCTGGAGGCCTAGTGGCAAGAAGCGGCACTGCAATCCCAGAGGATCACATCCTTCTGCTGTGATCTCTGTTCTAGTCAGCAACCACCCTCTTCCAGGCTGCCTTATCTACCACTAGATTTCTCAATCCCAGCAACTACACATTTGGGATAAAATAATCCTGGGTCAGGGGCTATCTTGTGCATCTCAGGACATTTAACAACATCTCTAGCCTCTACCCAGTAGATGCTAGCAACATCCTCCAATTCTGACACTCAAAAAATGTCTGTAGACACTGCCAAACGGCCCTGAGGGTACAAAATTGCCTCCAGGTAGAAACTGGTACACAGAAGAATAATAAGGATTATACTGATAGCAGGTATCAAGCAGACAGAAACCAGCCAAAGCCAAACAGGGGCCATCAAGTCAGCGACTGGCCCCATCATGTCCACACTGGCCAGTGACTCACCTTCTTCAGGACTTTCATGGCGTATATTTTGCCCATGTTGGTGCCTTGTACCTTCCTCACCTGGAACACCTGTAGGGCAAGGGAGACCTGCTCAACCTACCGTTCCATGTCTTACCATCATAAAGCCCCACCTGGAAGCCCTGGCATAAGGACCAAGAGGTGGGGCGATTAAAGAGGCTTCCCCTTCCCTCCAGTTTCAACCTTTCAATTCCATCAGCAGTTTCACTGCCTGACATGCCTAATTCGCCCACCCTGGGGGCATGAGGAAGAGGGAGGGGCGCCATACCTTGCCAAAGTTCCCCTTGCCCAGAACACGCAGCAACTCAAAGCAGTGGGGCCCGATGCGCTCTGGACCAACGTTGACGCTGGTCTCAGTCAGCTCCACTTCTTCATACTGTTCCCCAAATCTGTGGACACAGAAGTGGATGGAGACACAGCTCCAGTACCCGTGGGTCCCTTCTCCACTGCACCCCACGCCCACCCCCACCGCGACCCTTACTTACTCCATGCTAGTCGACTTCAACTCGGGAAGGGGACACACGTCCTGTGAGAAACCGAGTAGTAAGCACCAAGGGAAAGACCAGAATGCAGCTCTCCGGCCCTCGCTGGCCAGTTTGGCCCAGGAGACGAAGGGGCGAGGGTGGGAGCTGGCAAGACAGGGGCCAAAGAGGAGAGGAGGTAAGGACAGGGGGAGAACTGGGCGGGCAGGGTTGGGGAGAGCCGAAAGCGTGCGATGGCGGGGTGAGACGAACAGGGAGGGACCCGAGAAGGACCAGGGTCTGCAGGGCTCGGAGCCCATTCCGGCTCCGGGACTCCGGCTGCGGTCGGAATCGAGCCGCGCCGGGAGGGGAACTTACCGCCGGGCTGAGCTCGAGCTCGCCCTCGCTAACCTCCTCCGTCTCCAACTCCAGGTGGAACATGGTACCCATGGAGGTGCCGGCCCCGAGGGTCCCTGATCCCATAATTAGCAGCACTCAGAGTGACAGTCCCGGCTCCCTGCCCCGACATCATCATTTAACGACTGGGATGACGCAAGCTGATGACGCACGCGGCGCGGCCCCCCTCCAATGGGTGGAGAGGCGGTGTCCGCCGCAAAGCCTTTCGGGAATTGTAGTTTTGGCTCTGATCTCCTCCTGGGAACTACTACAGTGGCAATTCTCCTAGGAAGTGAGGATCCACTTTCGGCTTTCGGCTTGGAGGAGGCCTCGGTGCAACTTTCTTCGGTCGTCCTGCATCTGGGTTCATCCGACACCAGCCACCTCCGCCATGCCGCCCAAGTTCGACCCCAACGAGATTAAAGTCGTGTACCAATTGAATCGTACCATTTAATCGTGCTAATGCGAAACCTATACTTGGACCAAGAGGCAGTAGTCAGAACAGAGCAGGGCAACACTGCATGGTTCAAAATTGGGGAGGGTGTACGCCAGGGATGCGTCCTGTCTCACAAAAACAAATAGATTCATCCTGTTGTTGTTGTTATGTGCCATCGAGTCGCTTGCGACTCATAGCGACCCTATGTACAACAGCCCTAAACCTTGCTCTATCCTGCGCCAATCGCACTGCCTCTGACACACCCATCCCGATTACCCCAGTCACTGAATCAATCCACCTCACAGAGGGCCTTCCCCTCCTGCGCTGTCCCTCTACTCTACCCAGCATGATGTCCCTCTCTAAAGACCTGTCTCTCCTTACAACATGTCCAAAGTATGTCAGGTGAAGCCCCAGAATCCTTGCCTCCAAGGAGCAGCCTGGTTTAATCCTCTCTACGATAAATCTCTTTGTTTTCTTGGCAGCCCACGGTACATTCAATACTCTTCTCCAGCACCACAACTCAAAGGTGTCAATTCTCCTATCCTCCCCTAGTCATCGTCCAACTCTCTGATGCATAACAAGTGATTGCAAAAACCATGGCCCTCACCAGGCAGACCCCAGTCTCCAGAGAGACACCACCGCTCCCGAGCACCCTGGAGAGGTCCCCAACCGCAGACTTTCCCATCGCAACACGCCTTCCAACTTCCTCGTTACTGGTGCCAAGAGTGTTGACCGTGGAGCCGAGCAAACCGAAGCTTTGAACAATCTCAATCTCCCCGCCATCCACCCCAACGCTACCGACAGGTCCAGTGGTGAGAACCCCCGCCCTCCCGACATTGAGCCCCAGTCCACACCGAAGGCTGCAGTCCTGGACCCTCCGCAGCAAGCGCACAAGGTCCTCCTCAGCCCCAGTGAGCAAGGCTGCGTCATCTGCACAACGCAGACTGTCCACCCATCCTAACGTGGACAGATCGTCCACCAATCCTAACGCCACGACCCCCCCCCATAGAGCCCCGCCTCCTGGATAATCCGCTCCGCATACAGGCTGAAAAGGCATGGAGACAGGACACATCCCCAACACCAAACCATGCAGTGCCGCCCCGCTCTGCTCTGACGACTGCCTCCCGGTCCAAGCACAGGCCCCGCATCAGCACGACCAAATGTTCCGGGACTCCCACTCCTCCCAGAGTCAGCCACAGCCCGTCATGATCCACGCAGTCAAACGCCCCTGCATAATCAATGAAACACAGATAGGCATTCTTCTGGTATCCTCTGCTTTCAGCTAAGATCCATTTAACATCAGCTACAATATCCCTAGTACCACGACCCCTTCTAA